GTTTCCAATGTTTGTTCCTCCAGTTACTATCATTATTACACAAACGAAAAGAGATATGAGCAAATAGCATTGCATTATTTCTGTAAAAGAAACGCTTCTAAAATTATTTCAAAGGTTAGACAAACAATGTTATACTAGCATTTAACCTTATAATGAACCTGTTTGTTATCAAAATATCAAATCATAGTCAGAAGTTATCAAAGTATCAAAGAAAAACTGGATAATAATTCTACACAACTTAATGTAACAATAAATGCAACAATAAATGACGTAAACTATCACGAAGGAAAACTACCGTAAGATGACGTCAGGTATAATTAGAAGTTATATAGAAAGTAATCAAATTGAAGGCTTTTTGCCTATACTGTATGATTAATTAATTGCACTATTAATTGAAATTAGCCCAATAATAATTGGAACTGAAATTAGTCAGTCGAAATTCTAGTTTCTTTTTGTCTATTTATTTCATATCAACAGTCTTTCATTTCTTCACTTTTTGTTCACGAAGCAGTGAGGGGTTTTCGTATTATGATCTAAAGAAAAATTTAAAGGCAAGCAATGATCCTAATCAATCAATCAATCAATCAATCGTCTCAACCTTAATTTAATCCAATCAAGGCAATATGGCGCAGTAGTGGTACTCAAGTCCATACGTTAAGGGTTATAAATTGAGCTAGAAATACCTAAGAAATATGTGGATTACTGTAACAATTCTTTTTTGTTTGTACCTTCATTCAATGACAAAAAATTCCTAAATTAGACGACACATAACTGACCTTGTCCACTACTGCAACCACTTCCTTTCAAATCTTTTCTGAAGTCCTGAATTTGCTTTTTATTTATTTTATTTCCTATGACAACTCTGTAGAAAATATCAAAGGAAAAAGATAATAAAAGTAATGTTCATAAATTTAAATAATTTAAACTTGTCAAATTGAAGTCTTCAAAATACAACAAAAACTAAATTGAATCATTTATGTGATGAATTTTATTAGAAGATTTTGAAATACGTAAACTTTTAAGCAAATTTAAATTATACTTTTTCTTCATCCTCTATTGAAATTGCTGTTTGAAGCGATGATGATGAATTTGCTGCATGGTTTAGCTGTTAATAAAAAAACAACAGAGGACCAAAACAATCTGATGAGATGTGATCACATCTAGGCTTAGTTAATTACAAATTTCAAATCTGGTTTTAGTGAAATTATGTATTTCTGTGGTAACTTAGAAACTTAGATTTTACTAAGGTCTTACTGTATTCCCGAGTCTTTGTATGAAAAGAAACGTTTTTTGACGCAAAATTGTCTTAAAACCGCTTTGCGAATGCCTTGGCTCTTCATTTCCAGCCATTTCTGTCAGATGTCGCACTCAAATCCACGAGGCTAACATTTGCTATCGCTTTTGGTTAAATAATGCACTAAACAGACATATACTGCCTTTTTTAAATAATAATTTGCTTAAAATTTGAATATGATCATTTTTTTTATAAAATTTCTGGTATTCATATGAAAATTTCGTGTTCATCAAACATTCTAGCGTAATTGTTTGTTTACAATGTGCTATGCATCCTCTCATTTTGGCATTTATTTGTGTCTGAACTGCTGCCCAAAATACTAAATTACTACTTATTGCACTTTTGGCTGGACAAAGTGTCTTCTCTGTTCTGATTTGCTGTGTCATAAGGAAGGAATGATGTAACTGAAACGATTTGCGATCCATTTCCAGATAAGGAGTAGAGATATGAGTTGGTGAAATTTAACGATTGATTGAAGCTGATTTGAATTGAGAATTTAATTTCAATATCTAATATTTTACAAGCGCATTAATACACGGATCTTTTCGTTTTGATTTTTGAGATATTCACTGCTAGCTCTTTTGTTAATGTTTTGTATGATTTGTGTTATTTCCTTGTTCGTGTTGCATATTACTATAAACTTCTGAATAGTTATCAATCTTTTGTAGTGTTACTTCAACTTATAGTTGTCTCTGTTTCTTCTTAGATTAACTCAGTTCAATATATGTTTGTTATCAATTTTATTGCGTTTTATCCGCAAATAAGCTAAAAGTGCATTTGTGCAGAATTGGAGACATTTCTTATCAAACAGACGAGATGTCTTGCAAAAATGTCTGAGTAAGCCTTCACTCAAACGCAATAATTTGCGATTGTTTGCTTGTTGTCAAAATTGTCATCGATTTTCATTCTTATCTTTAAAAAAAGCAGCAGAATGTCAGTTTCTTCGGCTACTCGTATATTCCATACTTCCGATTATTTCCACTTATTTTTATTTGCATTTCATGAATCTAGAAATTTTCTATCCTGCATAGCAAGTAGAACCAATAAAGAAATGAGATTAGTAATTACGATATGAATTAAATTTTAAAATGAATTGTTTGCCGAAGAGTTGCAGAGAAATTTTTTCAGCAACTCGCTTTTTGTTATTTCAAATTTTTCAATTTTTTTCTTCCGCTTGGAGAGCAAAATGAAAAGAACAGATAATTTAATAGTAGAAGTGCGGCTGTGTTAAAAGTTTAACATAAGAATTGGAATTTTCGAGCATTTCATGAAATAATTTTTGCTGAATTTGATTTCAGTATGATGCATTTAAATTTTTTAAAATTTCATCAAGATAAAATGAAGTTTGTTGAATTTTTCCTATTTCCTATCTTCGTTTTAGGATAGTACTGAAAATGTAGTCCCAAATGTTGTTGTTGATTGAGATCCAAAGCCACCCTAGAACTAATCGATTTTATGGTGTTACGAATGGGTTACTCTGTTACTTGATTGTTCGAAGAGCGTGCAGTAAAAAATAAAACATCGCAAAACATCATGAAGTAGAATCTGAATGATTTGTAATTTGCTTCTTTAAAAATTCTAATTTTAGATTGTATGTTTAAGTTATTGATATTAAATATGAATCAATTTTGTTCTCATTCTGGTAATTATTTTTCTATTTGATTCAAGCTAATAGCGTTAGAAGTCATACTGGAAGGTAAAGCAAAAATAGAAATTGAGTGAAATTTAGTTATAGCTCATCGTCTTCTCTAGCAGTAGTTTCTAAAATGTCTAAGAAGTTTGACAATTTATTTTTCTTTTCACCATTGAAATAAAATTCATTTTTTGGCATTCTTTTGTATACTTTTTCAGTAAAAAATAAATAATGTGTTTCGTCAGATAACAGCAATTAACAAATCTGATAAAAGTCAGTAGAGGTTAATAGAAAAGGACGAAGGATAAAAACAGTTGGATATATATTTCAACTTTTCATTCGTTTTTGTTGTGGAATATATTGCATCTTTGAGGTTGCAGTTACAAAAATTAAGGTTTTACGGAATTAAATGAGCTTTCCTCATAAATCTTCGTCATTTTTTTAAGAGAGTAAAAAAACCTGTCAACACAAACTTTTACAATTTGTCAGCAACAAACTTCATCACATAAAAATAAGTGATAAGAAATTTAAAAAAAAAAAATCTTCTCCTTCTTCTTCAGGGTAACTATTCGTTGTTAACTATCGTTGAAATAGCTACTCGTTATTTCCATTTTTTCTTTTAAACAAACCTTTATTTTCTTTCGTGCACGTTTTCCAAACAATGTTGCTGAGCTAATTCTATTTTCTGATTTAAAAGATAAACAGAATTATTTGTGATATGGAAGTGAAATAATCAAGTATCGATGTAAAATTATTAGCAACAAAGTTTTTAAGAATTTTTGATCAGTATCCTTTGTTTACAATGATACAGCCATTTTGGCGTCAGAAAAAACGTAATTGTTGTCTTTTCTCAACAGTTTTTCTTTATGTGTTTTGTCAAACTTAATATTAATATTTAGCGATCACTTAGCATACATTGAGTTGAGAAAAGTAGTAAGAAAAATAATGAGTGGAAAATTAGAGTGAGTATTCATTCCTAACCGACATTTAATTTTTTTGAAATGTCAGTTTTTTATCGATTAGCTTACTAATATACTCTTTATTTTTCTATGTTGTCGTAAAAATGTAAAATATCAGTTGACAATCTCCGAAATGATTCCTAAAATTCATCGGTAATTAGCTATAAAAATACTTACAAATCTCTTTTTGCCATCTTAACACCCAGCTTTTCATCCAAAATATATCTTGAACTGTTATTCTTAAATTGTTTTAAGGACTAATTAAACATGCAATGTTGTTTCATCCGCAAAAATTAGGAGAAATATGGATACATGTTTATTTTTAAAAAAGAATTTTAAAAAATTCCAATACTGCTTCCTGATCTCTCAAAAACCGTTCCACAAAAAAGCCACTTTGCATTTCTAGGAACAATAAGCAAATAGGAGGTATCATTTTATAACCAGAGAAATCATTTACGATAAGGAAAATATAAGGAATGAAAAATAAGCGATTAATCAAAATCATTTTCGCCTAAAAAATTAAAATAAATTAAATTCACAAAAGGCACTATCAAAACTATCGCTTTATTACAATCGTTTCAAATATGATTATTTCTTTAACTCAAAAAGTTATCATTTTTCGAAAACGGTTGTCTACTATAAACTAAGATATAATTCAAATTTTCAACAAACTTAACAAATTCTCTTGCATTTAATTTATTTGCAAAGTAGAAAAAGATGCGGAAAATAGTAGTCGACGAATTTTCATTAAAATAAGAAGTAGAAAACTAAGTCATTGATAAGCATGGCTCCACTCTTCAATGAACGGTAACAATAGGTACAGTTATTTCTACCTGTGATGTGGGCAGCACATTCCACTGATATACTTGTGGAAAGAACGTACCTATCATTTACATTTAAAGAGTTTCGTCTACACAATATCCCACAAATGAGAAATTGTGACTTCTTTCCATTATAGTATCAGGAAAATTTGATAGCTCCAATTCGCATTAATACTGAAAATGCGATTTGCAAAAGAGAAAAAACTATTTATCGTTTCAGAGAAAGACTGAAAGAATAAATAAATGAAAAACAAACAAGCATTTGTATCAACGATTGATTAAACTCACTCTGAATGACAACATTGATAATTGTACTTTGGCGTCACCGTTTGAATTTTCATGGCTATTGCAAACAAACTACAGATCCAAGTTTCAGAGTAGTTGTTGTTGGGCCAGAAAACTCGATTAGTGATGATACGTGGTAAGTTCTAATTCAAATTATTCCTTCTATCTAATATTTGCAGAATATTTCAAAAAGGAGAAAAAAATTGTTGAAACTTTAATTAGCATGATTTGTGATTAATAAATGAATGGATATGAGTGGGTGTAAGAAATGAATGTTAATTATTGCTAATACCAAAAATGTGATCATTTTTTTTCAATCAATCAATAAAATTCATTGGCACTTTTTTTATACCAATTTCTTTTTAAATCAAATATTCCGGACCTTATTTACAGCTGTAAATGAAATTTCATCTTTCTACTTTGTAGTGTTGATGTCCACTATCAAATTCAGCCAGCATTTGGTCCACGTAATCATTGCCATGCGCTATTGATAGAAAAAGTTCGGGAACTTGTCTCGAATTACGGGTTAACTAGACGAATCATTGTTACTTTCGAAGCCGAGTTGCAATATTTGATGGCTAAAATTAGGTTAAAAGTTTAGGTATTTGATTAGGTATATGTGCTGTGGTTATCATAAATGAGAATTATGAGAATTTTGTTAAGAAAGTAATAACTTAATGAATACATATTCATTTTGATCATCATCTTTATAAATAAAGGTTGAAATTTTTGAAATTGAATTTAATATTTTTGGTGTCATTTTTAGTTCAGCTAAAATATCTTTTCAATTTCCACTTAGTACATATATTTTTTTGAATAGATATTTTCCGACTTCAGGTTTGAGTCCGGTATTGAGGGACTTCTACCCGATCATGTGGAACAAGTTGTGCATATGAAGGAAATGAAACTTATTGCTAGAAGAAATGGTCTTATGACTTTGAGGCATGTTGATTTCGTTTTTCTATTTACGAATTCTATTTCCCTTTTTCAAATTAAGTGCATAACTAAAACATAATTAGATTTTTTTAATGCATTCGATAAATGTAATTGAAATAATGAAAATATTTCACATGCAATATAACAATTCCGAAGCAAAATTAAAATTTTGCAGAAAAGAATTTTGTGCTGCTTTTTTATGTTTAATATAATTAGTAATGGTCAGAATCCACTTAAGAATTTAAAATTTTCTGTAAAATCTACATAGTTATATATCAGTAAGAATTTATTGTCTGTTCACAGCAGCAACAAATATTCGATTTTATGTAAATATACAATGATTTTACATAAAGGACTTGTATATAAATATGTAGATTTTATAGAAAATTTTAAATTTTTAAGTGGATTACAGAAAATTTTAAATTTTTTAAGTAAAATGACGCTAAATTTCAAATCAAGTTTTAAGTCTGAGAGATTATAGGTAGATTTTCTAATCTAAATTTTAATATTTCTGTTGTTAGTGCTTATCTCTAAATAAAAGTAAAACCAATCTTAAAAATCGCAATCTTTTGATGACTTCTTTCCGACAGTTAGCCCAAAAGTGTTCTCAATACCTGAATACCCATCTGTACAAATTAAGACATAAAATTCTACATTTATTATTTATGGAAAAAGGATGAGGATTATATATTTCTCACCCGACTCGATCAATCATTCATTAACAACTGAAAACGAAAATTATCAAAATTAAAAATGATGGAGTTGTTTCGGAGACCTCAATAACCATAAAGTCAAAATGTCACTCGAAAATTTCAATAATTTCAAACAGATTATTAAAAATATTGGCAGGCAAACGATAATTCCTTTGAAAGCTGAGCCATCATTGTGGTTGAGACGTATTGTCACCCAACTTGACGGATTTCCCGTATTTATACGATCATGTGAAGCGAAACATGGACGCAAAATAACACGTTACTCAATTCATGACTGTGATGAAATGCAGTATTGGATTAAGGTAATTGGTTTATTCAATCGGAATACTTTTTGGTTCTTCTGGTACATAAAAATTTCAAGGAAATAAACAAACTTCGTTTTTTTATAAGTTTGTTCAATTGAAAAAATCTCCAAAAGAAACAAGGAATTAATTTAAATCAAAACATTTGTAAAAGTATAAGTATCCAACAAGCATACTGATGGACTTATTAATTCATTTTAGAGTAAACTGGAAGCAGAAAATAAACATGACAGGGAATTTATTGTAGAAGAATGTCTACGAAACGGTTATGAGTTTGTATCTTTATATTCCAATTCTGGTTTTATCTGTAAGCTCTTTTTCAACTTTTACTTTTTAGTATTCTTGAAACCTTCATCTTAATGACATATTGTATAATACCACATGTTACCACTCATTTTATTAAGTGTCATCAGTATTAATTCCAAAATTTCTAGGCACTATAGCAAGATTGGGTGCAGAGGGAACATTATTTGAAAGTATTCGGGATCAAAAACCATATGCCTACGAATACCTTACAGTGGATCAAACACGAGATATTTTACCAGGAGTTGAGTCGTTTGTCCTGCGAACTGCAAAGTCACTTCCTGTAATACCGAACTCATCTTTCGTGTTCATTAAAGGATTTTATAAGGTTTACTATGATAAAATTGTTATTACCTGCCCAACTTGCCAATAGGTAAAGCGAAATGCAGGAAAGCACAAATAGATAAGACACCGACACCGATGGCACAACTTTACTGCAAATATATGATAAATTAGAACTTCATTAGTTTTACAAATAATTCATAAACAATTTAAATAGGTTATATTAACAAATTTCAGAATCATAGCGACATTTATTTACTTGGAACCTACCTGCAACCATTGTGTGATTCTCATCGACGGTTAATTGAAGCAGCTAACCATGGGGTAGGCTGGGAAATCCTTCTCTTGAACTGCATGGAGGAAGTATTGCAAGTATGATAGTTTCGTTTCAAATTCCTACTTGTGAAATAGTAAAAGAAAAATTGCATAATAATTTCAGACAGCTAACCGACCATATGACATGCAAAAATCAACCGAAAATCATCATGTACTGGTGAATTTTCCGAGCATAGAAGGCGTTTTGCTACATCAGACGAATATAACAAAACGGAGTTCAAGTATGCGTGTAATTTGGAAAGCTTGCGAAGGTCAAGAATTGACCAATTGTACATCTTCCGATGATAATATCTTGCAGGTATTATCCCACTGTTAGTCAGCAAGGATCGGAACTTAGTGAATAAATTTGGTACAACGAAAAAAGGAAGACTTACGTGCGTTGAATCGAATTGCATGGCGAATAAGATTATTATTTTATTGTTAACACCGCAAATAACCAAATATAGAATAGTAACTTAGAAATATAGGATTAGATAGTAGTAATCTGGCAATGAGGGTAGTGAAGTAGAATGTCCGATCTAGAATGAATCGAAACGCTTAAATATATTTTAGACTAATGAGTTAGGATACAATAAAAAATAATATAAGACTGACAAAGACTTTTTTACATGATTAGCATTTCACTTGTTATACGATTTAGATTAGATAACACATTCATCTCTAGGCAGGGGTAAAGGTTGCAATTACTTTTGCATAATGTGATGAGTCCTTTACTTACGAAATGGTTTATACGAAAATCTTTATTGCTCTAACATATTATGGATTTCTTCAGCTTTCTGACACCTATGTCATCTCTCTTTAGGAAATTCATTTCATTCCTTAAGGCAGATACTACTATGCTATCACATATGTTGCAGATATTTCTCTCCAATCCGAATAGAGCGGAAGTGATCGCCGATGCTCGAGACCTGATAGAAAACACCTACATTGCTGTTGACCGTTCGGTTGATAAACAAAACTTTTGTAATGACATACGAGCAAAGGACTGCAGTCATTTCATTCGAGGCATGACAACTTGTGATTAATTGCTATCTTGTCTGGAAAATTTATCTTCAAAGTTCTTCGCACACTGTTTCAATAGCAATTATTCAACTTATATAGCATAGTGACAACAACATTAACACTCAAATATATATCAAGGCTGCTTATAACTCAATCAGGGTACTGGCCTTTGGAATCAATATTGTTAATGATTTTCTCTTTTCAGAAACTTGCAAGAGGCTATATTCCAGTGAAAGTAGTTGTTTAAGAATAAGGTCAGCATTGCAAATATCTTCATCATCAATTACTCCAAAAACATTAATGCTATTCGTGCGCTCACATTGTTCTCTATCGTAATAAAACATTCTGCCATATTTTGTTTGTTAATGTGATCCAGAAGATAAACATTGCATTTTGATGTGTGGAAATGGAAATTTTGAACACAAAGAAATCAGGAAAAAAGCAAAACAACAAACAAATTATTGTACTTCTGTTAATAATATTACCATTATATAATCCAACAATGACAAATGGGCCAGTAAATGAAGCATACATTGAAGTACTTGGATAGGGAAAGAAAAGCACTGCATTGTTCCGGAATAGAAAGTTAAACGATAAATCTAAAAATTGCTTGGAAATGTCAAATTGTATTACTTACAGAATAAGCTCAAACAAGCAAATATAATATGTCCTATTACTATCAATCTTCAGTTCTTACAGCAATATTTTAAAACGAAAACAAGAGAAAAAATAACATGTTACATATTCCGCCCAAAGTTATCCCTGCAATCAATTTATTCTTCAGATGCTTTCCCATCGCTCAAAAATATATGAATTAAGGAACATTTCAAGTGAAAAAAAAAATTAAAGAATTGAAAAACTTAAAAAATATTAATAAGATCAATAACCTTATTAACGTTTTCCATTTATCTCACAGACTTCGATTCCGAAATTTGCACTTAATAGCAAAATCTATAACAGATTTAACACAGGATTCAAAAAAAGCTTAAAAAAAAATTCTCACGACGAATGTGGAAGACCATAACGTGAAAACAAACAATGAATAAACAAAAGAATTATCACAATAAAGTGCTCAAAAAAATAATAAAGTGTACCTAAACAGAGCACTTGTAAGATGAACTAATTGAATCCCACAATAAAAATTTCTCTAACAAGGAAAAGAACACCCGTAATTATAGAGTGTAAGCATGCAAACGACTTCAATCTTTCATATTATGGAAAATGGCTACATTATAAAAAATGAATCCAACCTTCATGAAAATTGGTGAGAAAGCATACACATTTTCCTATGCAGTAATTAAGGCAAAGGCATGCAATGATTACAAAGGGAATGTTCTATGTGGATGTGCTAATCCAAGACTTTTTAAATTTATTTGAATTGAAATAAGCACAAGGTCAAACCGAAATACAACAATCCTTCCTTACTTCTTTTATGAGCACCAATAACACAAATTTCGACAAAAATCATCAAATGAAGTAGATCTGAAAACCAGTCAAAAAGAAATGAATCTAGATTTGAAAGGCAATTCAAAAAAAAAAGAAATCCCTAAGATTTGTGCGTAAAAAATTTTGATATCAAGTCTACTCTGTAATTCAGCAGAAATATTTACAAATCCAGGGAATTCTTAAAGTTCCCAAGGTTACAACTGAGGCAGTTTAAAAGAATTAGTTTCGAGCGCAATTAAAAAAATGAAATATCCTTAAAGATATACGAAAACGGGAAATAATAAAAAGTACAGCATTTAATAAAGCAAACTGGTTTTTACTAAAAATGATCTAAAACGGGTAGCAATCTAAATGAAAAAAAAAGGGAAAACAAAAACGAAAATGAAACTTTAAGAGTCAAAATTATTCCCATGCAAATATTTTTGAGAGCTAAACACTTTTGCAAGGGCATCGGCACCAGCGGAACCAATCAAAGGCCTACTTGGATGAAATGCAACCGTCATCACAGCGCTATCAAACTTTTTGCGATGCGCCGCAATCTCCTGAAAATAAAAATAGTTTTAATGAACCGTCCATGGCTGTAACATTTTTGGCATTTACAATTATACGTGCATTACAATATCAGAATTAAAGTCAGCTGAAATAAATTATTCCAATGGAAAGAAATGATCGGTATAATTTTTCCGTTCTAAATGTATAAAAAATTCCAACATGGATCTCTCACCTGTAAGCAAATCCTTTTTTCCATATTCCAAAGACGTAAAGAACCATCATGACTACCGGAAAGTAAATAAAGACCATTAGGATCAATAGCCAGACACGAAATTGCTTCAACATGTGCAACGGTTCCATGAATCATTTTGCCTGAAAGAGAAGCGTGACCTATGATAACACACCAGCAAAAGCCAATCTGCAGATTAACTGTATGACCAACATGGATCTCTCATTTTTATTTGTGCCTCCTTTAATGAGCCTTCTATTCATTCAAGTACAAAAGAAGAAAACAACGAACATGACTGATATTACTTTATCAGTTCAAAAAACAAGCAAAAAAACGACCACTAATAGCAAACAGAAAACAACCATGCAACATATTTTAATTTAGAACTAAAAATTTTCAATTTATATTAAAAAGTTCATGTTCAAGATAACCAAAAATTCCTAAAAATGATTTCTCTTAAAAAACAGAAGTCCGGATACCAGTATTGTTATCGAAGTAGCGTATTTTGCGATCATTACTAGCAGTTAAAGATACTGACATCGTTGGGTGTGACAAAATTTTCGTAATTGTTCCAGCATCTTCTGAAACACAAACAATTTTGATGTTTTGTTCTCGAAAGACGAACTGCAGAGTTATTATGAAGTTGTACCAAACTTTTAGAAAAAAATAATCGAACATATTTTCAGATCTAAAAATGATGTCCAAATAACTAAAGAAAGAAAAATTTCCTGAGTACAAGCAAATTTACATTTCGGTGTTTTTTCCATAAAACAGAAATCGATAGACGTGCTTCTGAATTTATTTCATGTAAAAAATAGTGAACATGAGTGCTCGAGAACTTACCATCACCAAAATCAAATGACAGCACATTGCAACCGGTCTCGATATCAATAATTGAAGCATATGATGAAGTATAAGCCGCTAGCAGTTGCTGTGGTTCAGTTGAAACAAAGTCGACTGATGTTGGCTTTATATTTGGCAGTACAGCACCAAATGATTTGATAAGGGCGTCCGTATTTCCTTAAGATTTACTCACATATTTAACTATTAACTACACCACCAATGGAAGGTCTACCATCCCTTTATTAAAACTCAGGCATCAGAAATCATATAATTATCACATGAAAGTTAGTGGCGTCCTATTAAATGCAAAACTTATTTTTGAAGAAAATTACCCGGTTCCCAGAGTTTAATCGTTCCATCAGCAGAAGCACTAACGAGGCGATTATCGGATGAATGAAACGCAACTGACCAGATCGCACTGGTATGACCTTTCAGTTTCTCACATAACACCTTCGAATCTTCAAACATGTTTTTAGATCGGAAAGAACATCTGACACGTGTTTTACATTTCAAAAAATCATCATCAGTCATAAACTTTGATGCAGTAACTTCAAGCAATGAACTCCTAAAAGACAAATTCATACTTTATAAATTTTAAGTGAATAAAATCACACCGTATGGTTCATATATATCCGTATTAACTGATGGTACCGACCAACAACACACAACACCATCAAAACCACCAGTATAACACATATCACCCGTTGGTGACATATCCATTGAAAGGATCGGCCCACTGAAAAAGAAATTTATTTATCAAATCCACAAAAAAAAAAAAAAATCAGTAGACAAGATATGGTTAAATTGCAAAAAAAAAAAATTACGTACTTGTGTCCGCGGAACGTATATGTTGGCTCCAGCTCAGTGATTGCAGACTGTGGATGTGTTGAGACTTGATCTGCAATAACATACACATAAACGAATTCGTATCTTAATCCCCATACAGAGGTACATTTGAAAGCTGTAGATCGTAAAGGATTACAGCAGCCAAACGAAGAGAAAAAATAGTTATTTACTTCCTTTTAAATCCATTTTCATACAGATACTACCCAGATTCCAAAGCTTCGCCGTACTGTCTTCACTAGCAGTAATAAGCACCGGTTCAACGGGATGAAACTGCATGGCACGAATGCTATCGAAATGTGAGCGTAGCGTAAATTTTAAATTCCACCGAATATTCGTTGTATCGTCATCTGGCTAAAAATACTTTAGAATTTGAGATACCCATTCGAAAACATGCTTTAGATATGTGGAAAAATCAACCAATTTGAGGAAAATATTCAAAATTAGCAAAGATATAAAGATAAAACGAAAAAAGGGAATATATACTAACGATAATGAAATCATCTTTGATATCAACACTTCCTTCATCAGCAATTCCAAGAGCTGCATTGATATCCATAAACTCTCGCCTACTTTTACCACAGAAAAAATGTTGCACATCATCTGCAAAATAAAAATGGAAAAAGAGATAAGGACCTGTTTCATTCTTATCCACAGTACCTCAGTGAAAAAGGAACAGTGGCATATGCAGTTTTGCATCATTTTCCTTAGCTACAATGAATTTATACACTAATCGGATATTAAATCAGTAGGAAGTACGAATGGAAAAATAGGAACAAACGAAATCAGATAAAAAATCATCCAAATTCAGATATGTTGCAGAAACGAAACTACCATCAGATACTTCTTTTTTGACGTCATCCGCTCCTAAGCGAAGTTGATGTGGCGGTCCTCTACCTGACGAAGAATCACTCTGACTATTATTTCGTTTTCTTTCTTGTTCCGATCTAGAAGAGTGCAAATATAGAGTTATCCCTTTTGTTTTTTTTTTCTTTTGTTGTTGTTTATATAATAATAACTTAAACAGTTCTTAGAACATAAGCCAAGACATGAGAAATCTAGTAAGAGCTAAACCAAGTAATGAAATATCTACCTGAACTTTTCCTTCATTTGATCAATAGCACGTTGATTGATGCTCCACTCACCACTTCCTTCTGATCGCTTTCTGCTAACACTTGTTTTCTCATCTTTTAAAAAGGAAAACTCTCCAAGCGCATCCACAGTTTCCGGATCAAGAGAATCCTTGTGTTCCTTTCCTGTCTTCTCATCATCTTCCGAATCGCTGCAATCATTATTAATAACAGCAAGTGCCCAAATAATTTTTATTGGGAATTTAAAACTTAAATATGCCAAAATTTAAGTATGCATCCTAATTTAAGCACACAGCCTATAGAAAAAAAGGGAAAATTCAAACACACCTATCATCACTTCCAACTGGTACAGAGTTATCCTTTTTCTTTTTCCGAAGATACTGCGCAGCTTCCATTACAGCTCGATCAGTATCTTGAAGAGCCTTCACGGCATTTTGCCGAGAAGCGCTGAAACAAACAAGACTGTTCGGATTCAGTGTTTTCGTCATAATAACCATTAATAATATGTCTGATAGGAATGCTAGCATATGAGTACATTTAATGATTAATGATTCATGAATTTTAAAATGCTTCTCTATCACGAATTAACCATCCACTTGAAGCTGATGCTTAATTTTTTTTTGGATTAATAATTACTGCATATGATATCGTGACACTACTAACACAAATGCATGCGGAAATAGTCCAGCAGCAAGTGCTACTACCTGTTAGAATCATTTTGCCAATCTGAATGTGGCATCAGTCCCAATAAATTTTTAGCCCGAAAAGATCGAACATCCAAAATCGTCTCACTGTAACCAATCTCCTAAAATGCACTCAGGAAGTTACAAAATTTTACAAGAAATTCTCTTGAAACTTTTCAAACATTAACTACAGAGATGTACATTAACCTGCAGATATTGTCTCAGTAAAGCTCTTGCATTACGAAAACTGGAGGCGCTGTTACACTGCGAAGCGTAGGCATCTACATCAAGAGAAACTTGTTCAGCAGTCTCTGAAAATACAGTTCGAAAATTCATGTTCCTTAAATACTGGATCATAAGGAAGCATAAACCGCGATTCTTAAATTCAAAACATTTCCACGCATCATTCCCGACATAAGTCCAGTGTACATAAACTATGTACCTGCTATTTCATCCGGGCTCACTTCGTCTTCTGGCTTATCTTGACCGTTGTGAGTTAAGCGATAATTTTTAGCTCTGAAACAGAATATTTAGTTATAATGAATTAATGTATTGCAAATTTGTCAAAAAATATTCTGTAAATGAATACGATATCTTTCATCGATGGCCATACATAATTGGTCACTTGATAAGACTTGAAAAGTAGCATGATTGAAATGGAAATCGTTTGCTTATTTCAAAAAAGAATTTTAATCCTTACGGTTCAAACCGTGTGATACGCAGTCTCTTTAATTAACGATTACGTGCTCTCCTAATTTTCGTACCAGAAATTAAAAAATAAGAAACATGCCAAACATATAAAAAAATATAATTCAGTCACAATAACACAAAAAAGAAAATTGCAGGACAGCAATAAATCTGTCAAAAGGTCAGACCGTTCCTGTTTTAAACTGTATTCAAGCATTTTTATGCGTCGGATCAGATCGGCCTTTAAATTTTCCTGTCCTTTTCGCTCACCGTGAAGGAAGCTTATTCGTGCCTAAAATGATTATGAAAATGTATAACATCAACGTAAAACAATATAACATGAGAATGTTGCAACATCTGAAGTTCTTTTATAGAGGTACAAGAAAAAACCTGCAATTCAGCTCTTTCCATCTCCCACTGCGCCCGATCCATTTCATAACGGCTCCATTCATGTTGCAAATAATGCAATACACCGTGCATTGTATATGGCACTTTTCGTGGCTATAAAAGAATCACTGACCAGAAGAATGGATGAAAGTCAGAAGTTATCTACGAAAGTTTTGGAAATTATCAACATAATGCCATGTATACAAGCTGTTTTTTAAGATCATAACGGATTGTATATCTCTGTTTATCACTGAAAGGCAATTAAAAAGATGAAAATTGAAAAATCAAAAGGAGATTTTCGTTCGGAACAGATACACTCAGCAAACTAAATATGAACAAGTAATAAACGTTTACCTGTTCATCTCCTTTACAATCCAAAGCGTTTGAATCTTGCTGAACATCATGCAAAGGATATTCATTACTACTCATTTCTTCGTTCACGTCTACAATAAAACATGCAGAGATTTAATAATATTTTAGGTCCAACTGATTTTTAACTGGATAGCAGATAAACAATTCGAAAAATATTAGAAAATGAACTTCTGCTAGAGCTATCATTTTCTTAAAACACGGTACATTTTGTTGCACTGATCACTGCATCTAATGTCTTAAATGCAGATCTAGTACATGTAAATTCAGCACAAAAGATCTGGATGAATGTAATTAATGATATGTAAAAGAAATACAAGATACAAACTTGTATCGGCTCCTCTTGGTGTATTAACAGTGCTGGAATCTCTCTGAGCTAAGTTGGAGTTATCAATGTTAACCATCGCACACCAACATCAGAGACTGCTTTGTAGCCGCCTACTTTCACTTTTTTTGCTTTTTTTTTGTTTCAATTAAATTGATAAAAACTGTAGCTGTTCCTATGAAAAGTTTTTCCACTGATGAACACACAGGAGGTGCTAAAAGTAAAAAACAAATTTTCAAAAAGTTAAGATCAAAGGAACAAAGGTGAAAATCCGTAATGTCGCGCTAATAATGGTTTTCTATCTGCAGATTTTGTTGCAGTCATGAAGTATACAAGAAAGGAAAAGATGCGGAATCATCAAATAACGTTTTTAAAGATTGCTAAGTGACTGAATCTCACATTTTACACAAAAACATTCAAATTTTAAGTCTCCAACAATAGACTGACAGAGAGCCAATTAAAGTTAAATATAGTTCACACGCATTTATTTCATGAAAAATACTTGCTTAAATGGTTGTCTACATTTCACCTCATGACTTCGTCATGCTATAAAAAATGCAGGGAGGAAATATTTCTTAACGTCACAGTACTTTCTTTCTTAGCTAGTTCTGGAATACAGGATCAATTTCATAAGTGAACTCCTTAAAGGAATGAAGTTACCGAAACAAGACATCCTAATAATGCTTGATTTTCGAGAAAAAATAATGATTACATGAAGTTACAACGCCTAAACCACTTATGTCAAATAAAACGATTGCTATAAAGCTGCTTTCAGCTTCTAATTTACAATCAAATTCATCGTTCTCCCTACACCTCTCTAAGAATCCTTTGCTTTTCCAAGAGCTTTCTTCACTGCCCAATGATAATTAAAATCTGGACGGTTTGGAAAATGCAAACATTAACTCAACTTGCAGGTAATTCCTCTCAGATTCTTTAAGCATGTAATTCTATTTGGCTTTATAAAAACAACAGAAAAAACTATGACGAAAAATAACAAAAGGGACTGACATTGGATAAATTCGGTAAGACGGCAAGATAATGGGAAAAGATTTCTAGTGAATGACGCAGAAAGAAAATATCTACATAAAATAGTTTTCAGAATAAAAATTCTTCAAAATGGTATAAACGACAGTGAATTATCCACCATATTATCTGTTAGTCACTGCGATGAGTGCTTTTCGTTATAAAAACACTATATATATGTTTCTGTCAATTTTTTTTTCCTTCCACTAGAACAAAGTTTGTTAGGAAGTTATAAAAGAAGGACAAACCACTGTAAAACATGCACCATCGTGCATTTCTGAATGGATGCATGGTGCATCCATAAGCTTTCATCATTCTGAAATTAAAAACTTCTTACTGTCTAAAACTACAAAACGTATCTCACAATACTGTATCTCATTATGCAAATGAGCTTTATATTTGTTAGCATATCCAAATAATACAGTTACTTACTTGGTTAAAATTTATTATTATACTCAGAAATGTACATCACAAACGAGAAACCTATTTTAGGCAAGGAACGAGACATATGAGAGGAGATGCTGGATGATAAGAACATTTTGTTACTGATGAAGTGATATTTCATTATTATTTTGTTAAAATAAATCATCGAAAAACGTTCCATACACATTTCTCTCTCACATACATACTTCATTTGGTATAAAAAAAAGAAAAATTAAATAACGCATTTCGAAAGGATTTTACGCTATACTACTTTCAACCAAGTGGTTGTGAAAGATGATAAAATTGTTAGGTCAATCATAGAAAGAAGGAGCAGAATTTATTAACTCCCACTTCATGTAACCAATAGAAATAAAAGTAGACAGACATTTTCGTTATTACTAGAAACGACACACCGCTTAAAATCTGTGAATCTAAGATAGTTCAATGATTATCACAAGCATGATGAGTGAAAGCGTTAATACAGATATAACTGCACTCAAAACCAATACTGAAATCGGTGTTGAACGGAATGAGTTTCAAGATGAGGAATTCCGGCTGATAAGAAGAACAAAGTGCAACACCTCTCACCTTTCCCCTTCATCCGCCCTTAACCTTCTGCACATTCCAGGATGTAATGAGTTACACAACGTACGGAAGAATCCGTTTCCTATTAAAGTTCGGATTGAACACTATGCAAATAAAACGTTTCTCCAAAGTCATATTGAGGAGGATTTCTTACTCCAATTTTACCTAAACACTTGATAGCGATACCTTATCACTTCTGAATTCTCTTTATCCGGTCAAAGAACTGATACTACAGGCGCCAGTGTGAATGAATTTTGTTTGAAAAGACAGAAGAGAAGAAAATACTGAAGATAGAGGGATTCATTTTTATTAAACTCTGATCGTCCTGAGAAACCTAAGTTTTGATTTCTGAGATGAATGAAGCGACGTGCATCTGAAAAAAAAAAATTTGAACAATTGATGAAGCCAAGCAATGACAATAGTAGTCTCTGTAATCAAGTTGATAGATGAATGAGTACTTGTGCGTATTCTTAAGCATTTGTTACAAATGAAATTAACAATACTGGGTGCCAATGAAATTAACTGCAAATGCTATGATTAACAGTGGATTATCATTTTAATTTGATCACACAAGACAGCAGTGGTCTCTGTATTTAATTTTTTGAATTAAATCGTCAAAACTAATTGAACCTTTTCATGCAGAGAAACAACCGTTCCTCAATAAGCTGCGGCAGAATTATTAACACAAAGAGTTACTTGGCTTTATGCCACCAATCAACAGATCTGAAGACAACGCCACTTGCAGTAGGTGTATTTTGTTTTGAATGCTGTTGTCAGGTAATGTGATGAAGGTACTGATACAACCAAACATTTCCTCTTTTCTTTTCATCCTTTAATTTCTCATGTTCGTCATAATTTCACGGATCTGCTTTCGAAGTTGTAGGAAAAAAGCATCTGATTATATAAGAATACTTTAAATCTCACAAGAAGCGTTAGCTCAAAGTGATTTGGAGCCAAGTGGGAAATGAACGTTGCAATTGTCGTTGCACATTGCCTAAGCATTATCTATTGGCTTTATTGAGGAAGAAGCTTAGCACCATTTTATATGTCAGTTGAGCATTTAGTTCTTTTAATTTCGTGCTTTATTTTATGCTAGATTTGGCTCTGTCTTGAAGTGTAACAGTTGAACTCAGTAAAAGTTAAAGAGCGGAATATCTTTGACATTATACCGTTAGGAGAATTCATGACTAGGTGTTTATTATACTCACCGAAAGAGATAATAAAGGTTATTGGCTGCTGATATTTGTCATAATGATACTGTCACTGCTATCTCTTCTAGCTATATTATTCATTTATTTTTTGTGTGTGTCTTATGGCCATTTCTAACTACGCACATCTTTCAGTTCAATTTTTCAATCGATTATAATAATGCTGTCATTTACGTGGCCTCACTGTTTACCGTACGTGTGACGCACTCACTTTAAAAAAAATTGAAATTTGATAATAATTCTGAATATGAGGTTCCGTTTTATATAAATGGTTAATTATAAGTTACAGTATTCATTTGAAAATTTCCAATACATTTCCTCTGATTTTGTCCGTAATAATCCTTAACATTCCAGTGAGTCTAATATAAGCACTTTTTTGTCAAAAACTCTCATTTAGGAAAAGAGAACGAGAACAGCTTGTTCTTTAGCTTACGTTACTTTTTTGACTGGCTCCTCTCAAATTTGCTTCCGATCAAAAGATGCAATCCAACTTCAAGACAGTGCCACAGCGTTTTGCTTCATCATTTTCAATTTCTTATTTCGCAAATAGAAGTGAAGTCTTTTTTTTTTTGTTCCCATAGAAAGGAGAAAATTTCCTTCCATCTCCATATTTAAGAGTGAGGAGGCACTATACAAATTGTTGATCTACTGTCAATCTAATAATGATTGGACATTAAGAAAGGTAAGAGAAGGATAAGGTATAAATAATCATTAAAATTGGAAGAATGAGAAGAGTCGTAAGAAGAAGGAAGGAATTATGATTTGATGAGAGACATTTATTACGCAAAGAGTTGATGTTTTGCAGAAAATTTCCGGAAAGAGTTTCCCACCTGATAATCAGTTAAATATTCCTGTAGCAAGCATGCTGTTGCAGGTTCTTATTACTTATTATTCCGTGAGGTATATAATTAATAGCGCAGTTTTGTTTTCGTAATTTTACTGGAAAGAAACATTTTGGACAAAGACCAACACTAGCACACATGCACGAACATATCTGAGGATACGTTGAATATACGCATACGTCACCAATTGATAATTGGAAAGTTTGGAGATGGGTAGATGATATAAAGAAGGCTGAAATTGGAGTGAAAGGAGTTGTGAAAATGACCGGATAGTGGAGAGAAATGTTAAGGGTGCGCGGTTTTTGAGGAGAGAATTGAGGTGAAGGAGAAATGGAGCAGAGGAAATGATCTCGGAATATTTCCGACTCGAATTATTATATGAAGTGATTTGTTTAATAGAATGACATGAAAACAGAGGCAAGAGGTAAGATTTGAACTGTGGTTGTTCAGCTTTGTTGAATCAGAGAATCTTTATGCGCTTATGGTGTAATTATTCATTCATATTGCTTATATCTGACATTGTATCTCCCGTTGAAAACTGCTTGGTTCAGTATTTGCAGTCCACTATATTCTGTTTTTTCCTAAATGAATTGACTCTCTCTCCCGCTATGTTATTTTCCTTTCCATTTAATTGATCAATACTTTGTCAAAGTTTATTATTTTTATGTTTGCTGTCTTTTTAAGCACAACATTTTGTCCTTTACGCTAATTCCAACGTACGTGATGTGTGCATGATCTACATGTGGTAAATCTGGATATATAGAAACATTATAAAGATACTGTAAATTACCTGACTTCATAGAACAGTAATATCTGTTTGTTATGGAAGTTGAACGTCTTCAATTCCTAATTTGTAATTGAAAATATTCAAATGTTTTGTTCAAATTGCGTATTTTCACGTGATGGTTGTTTTGTTCGTATGCATTCATTTTACTTTCTTTTAAGCTCTTCTCAGAGTTGCCATTATCATGGCTGCTGCCTGTGATATGATCTAAACT